TCTCACGCGACATCGGGCACGTCAAGTCCGCGTGAAGCGACGTCGGTAGCGACGAGGATGGGACGAGCGCCAGATCTGAACTTGCGGAGGGCGAGGAAACGATCTTTCTGCGACATGTCGCCATGGATACAACTCGCCTTGAAGGGAGTGCCCTGCCGTGATGTAAGGTGAAGAAGAGGAGAGGAGAGGAGAGGAGAGGAGAGGAGAGGAGAGGAGGGGAGGGGAGGGGAGAGGAGAGGAGAGGAGAGGAGGGAGGGAGAGGAGGGGAGGAGAGGAGAGGAGAGGAGAGGAGGGAGAGGAGAGGAGAGGAGAGGAGAGGAGAGGAGAGGAGGAGAGGAGAGGAGAGGAGAGGAGAGGAGAGGAGAGGAGAGGAGAGGAGAGGAGAGGAGAGGAGAGGAGAGGAGAGGAGAGGAGAGGAGAGGAGAGGAGAGGAGAGGAGAGCGGAGTGCATGTTTGTATCGTTGTTCTTGGTGCAACTGATTGAATTTATGGAATGACGTTTGACAGCTGGATGAAGACGGAAGAGGCGAGAGGAGAACGAGATCACCAGCTGAGGGGAAGGGATGGAGAGGGAGGTTGTCGAAGAAGGGAAGAGGAGATGAGTCGGAAACAAGAGCTGCAGCGAAGGGAGGATGGGGGACATGCTGGTATCAGAGGGTTAGGAAGAGAAGTGAAGAGCTGGTGGGCTCCAACTGACGAAACTTGAGAGCTGATAGGAGACAGGAGGACGGAAGAGAAGGGGAGGAGATGAAAGGCAGAGGGGAGAGAGAAGGGAATGGGTGAGGGCGAACATGAATTTAATCGAGGAGGGGCGGACGAAGTAACTACTGATAGGAGGAGGAGGAGGTGCTGGTGGTACTGGTGGTGATGGTTGGGGCAACTCGAACCTCTGCGACCAAACTCACGAAATCTCACAGAAGAAGTTCTGAGCTCATTCTTGTGCCTTGACAGAGCTCGCAGGACCAGGAAGGAGACGCTGCTTGACGGAACCAAAGAAAAGGACGCCTGAGTACAGAAGGTGAAGGTGCAGGGGCAGGAGGCATGGTCAGAGTAAGAGTTTGGATCGTACGGCACGGGCAACGGGAGGATGAGGTGGAAGGGAGCGACTGGGGGAGGACAGGCGCGAGCAAAGACGTCTGGTTCGACCCTCCGCTCACACAAGCTGGCGGCCAACATGCGCAGCAGGTAGCGAGGAAATTTCACAGGTACTTGCAGCAGCGACAGGGCTCCTCGTCCTCCCTCTTCCACGTCATCTACTCCTCTCCCCTCCTCAGAGCTCTGCAGACTGCCTCGGCTTTCGCTCAGGTAACCAGCAAGCTGCTCCTGCTCCTGCTCCTGCTCGCTCCTGCTCTCCTCGCCCCTTCCCATAACTTGAACGCCCAGGAGCTCAACTTGAGCGTCCTCTCTGTTCCCGGGCTCTGCACCTGCGCGGCAGCCATTGACAGCTACCCCCTCCACCGAGTGGGGGTGCACTGGACGCTCAACGGAACGCGATGGCGGCTGAGGACGGAGGAGGAGGCAAGAAGGCTTGTGCCTGCCCTGCCTCTCGTGGGATCGCTGGAGTATGCGGAGAACTTCCAGGCGACTCTGTGAGTGAGGAGGAGGCGTGAGCTGCTACTGCTGACCAGAGACAAGGGAGAAGATCTGCCGTGACGTCGCTAGCATGCCAAGCGATCATGCGGGAGGAGGAGCAGGAGGAGGAGGACAGACGCGAGATTTGCTCGTTGTAGCTCATAGGGAGGGGATTCGTGACCTGTCGCTGGAGTCGAAAGGTCCCAGGATCCGTCACACACCCTACTGCTGCATAGCTGAGTTTGCTTGCTCGTGGGAAGAGGAAGAACGAGGAGGAGGAGGAGGAGGAGGAGGAGGAGGAGGAGGAGGAGGAGGAGGAGGAGGAGGGAAGAAAGGACGTGGGGGCATGGAGTGGGAGAGCATTGATTGCTTGGAATTTGTTCCGTTCCAAGGTTAAACATGCAGCAGCAACGAAGATGATGGGGATGATGGGGATGAGGGGGATGAGTAGAAGATAGATAAGCCCATCGAGCTTGAAACCTTCCAAGAGCGAGACAAAGAGAAAGTTATGCTGCTGCTGCTCCCCCTCCCTCCTCCCCCTCCCTCCTCCCCCTCCCTCCTCCCCCTCCTCCATCTACATCCTTCCCCTTCTCCGCTCTTCCTTCTCTTCCGCCCTCTCCTCCTTAACCCTCTCCTCCTCTCCTCACACACTCCCGATCATCTGGGTGATCACAAACTCCAGCACGTAAACCTGCACACCCGTCATGCTCGCTCGAGTCGCGTCAAGTCACCGGAAGGAAGAGAAGGTTGAGGGGGAAGGGCAGGCCAAAGCCGTAGGAGGCCTGAAGAAGCGTCAGCAAAATGAGGAGGAAGGGAGGGAGGGGGAGGAAGGAGAGGGAGAGGGAGGAAGTTACTGAGGGATAGAGGAGGGGGGGGCGAGGGGGAGGAGGGAGGATGAAGACGGAGGAAGAAGATGGAGGGATAGGCGGGTCAACCTGACTGAGGAAGCCGATGAGAGCTAAGAGCATGACAGCCCCGCTGAAGAGAGTCGAATCCTGAAGCAAACAGCTCCTCACTCCTTCACGTTCCTCTCTCCCTCTCCCTCTCTCCCACACCTCCGACTATCCACTCCCTCATTTTCGCTACCCCACCGCCTTTGTCCTTCAACTTGAATCCCTTCCTTAACTTCCTCTTTCCCCCCCACCCCCCTCCCCACCAGCCCTTTTTTCCTCCTCCTCCTCCTCCTCCTCCTCCTCCTCCTCCTCCTGACTCTTTTTTTCCGTTTTCCTTACCTTCTCGAGCACGGGGGAGGAGATATATCCCAGCTTAACAAGCGCGTCCTGCGACAGCGGAGTTACAAACCGTCGCCCTTCCCCCCCCCCCCCCTCCTCCTCCTCCTCCTCCTCCTCCTCCTCCTCCTCTACCTTTCTCCCTCCTCCTCCTCCTCCTCCCTCTCTCCCTCTAGCCATCATCATCACCTGCGAGGATGAGACGAAGAGGAAGGCTCCTCGGAGCGAGCAGTGGATCGCGCTCATGATTCTCTGAAGGATCCAAGCGAGGAAGACGCCCACAGCTGACAGAAGCTGAGTAGGACGAGGAGGCGAGGAGGGGGGGGGCGGGGAGGAAGAGGAAGCAGAAGCAGGAAGCGGAGTACCAGGTGGAGCAGGAGGAGCAGGAATAAGTGAGTGAATACCTTGCGATGAATACTTGATGCCGGGATCAATCCACTTGTGATACTCTGAGAGCATAACTGAGAAGAGGAGGAGGAGGGGAAAACGATAAGGGAGAAGAGAAATAGGTTGGCACCTGGTGAGATGTTCTTCTCCAGCAGGGGTCGAGCGTGTACGTGAATGCCTGTAAGGGGAAAATCAAAACAGAAAAATGTGAGGAGAAGAGGCAGGAAGGAGGGGAGGGATGGAGAAGAGAGGAGGGAGGAGAGAGGGAGGGAGGAGAGAGAGAGGGAGGAAGAGGAGGAGGAGGAGGAGGACGAGGACGAGGAGGAGGAGGAGGACGAGGAGGAGGAGGACGAGGAGGAGGAAGAGAATCGAAGAGAAAAGGGACTGTACTGGCATGGAACATGTCTCCAATGGAGCAGCCAAGAGTGACTGCAGCAGCAAACTTGAGCCTGCAGTGAGCGATGAGGAGAGCGAAGGGGAAACAGAAGGAGAGGAGGAGAGGAGGAGG